CAAAGGGCCAATTACAAACCCATGGTGAAACATAGGACTAATAAATGGTTCAGAACTGATGGAGTGATGATAGAGCCCCAATCCCTGAACTTCAAGGGGACAGCAAACAGATGGGAATAAGAGCCTCAAATATAGGGATCTCCTCATACGATGGTATTCAGGCAAAGTAAATCTCAAATCACCTCCTAAAAACTTAAGCAGGAGACGGAAACCAATGGAGGGGGTAAATTCGAAAAATGACCATACCAAATGCGATCACCTCAGAGCCCAATTGTCTGTGAGCATTATCTCCAAATTTGGGCAAAGTAGTTAAAAACATTGTTGTACCAAGTCTGAAGTAATAAGAATGTGTGTAAATTGTGGAATCGAACCGCCAAAAGTCACCAAGATTGCTGGTTGTCCTGAAAACAGCGCCCCCAGAATCAATGGCGAACTGCAATCATTCTGGAGGCCAGAATAAACCAGGAGGATGAACGAGGACAAGGATTGTGGGAAAAATAAGGCCAAGTGAAATTAAGCAACAGGGCTGACCTAAACCTGGGTTCCCGAGATTCGGGAATCCCCCCCCCAAAAAAAACAACCTTGTACAAAACAAAAGTGCCATATTCAGAATAACCAAAGTAATGTGATTCGATCCCCACAAAGGGACAAGCTACAACAAACTCTACAAGCCTGAGGAGGGAAATCAGAATGACGAAATGCTAGAGCATTGTCGTCCAAAATACGTGGGGTCGAGTTGAATTGAATTGGTCCCCAAACTACTCTCGCCCCCCCCCCCACCCCAATAAACCGAGAGGTGCAAGGAACACTAAAACTGACCCCACGGCTCGTCACGAAGAAGAGCAGGAATAGAATGAGAGACACAGGTAGAGGAACTAGGCAGCTATAATCCTCACCATCATGTACAGACAAATCATTAAAGTATAAGAGGACAATCAGCAGGTGCTCCTAAGTCTCTAAAAATTGAACTAATTTCTAGCGAACCAGCCATTACATCCTGAGCCGATAACGTGCTCAGAAGCCACTGGAGTGGCAGACAAATCAGCTGTAGTAGTTTCAGCCACTAAGGTAGAAGCCACGTGGAATTTCGCGTAAATGACGAGTGGGGTTGACAGGAAATAAAGACAGAACCGTACAAAATTCGAAAAATTAACGGCCGAGAAAAAAATGCACAACCAAAAAATGAAACTATAAACTTTGATAATTGAGCGAAAAAATCAAAGCGAAACGCATCCGATCTGTAAGACTGCTAATCGAGAAGTGCTGTAAGATTAGAGGGGGTGCTAGTTACGATAGTAGTGTCGCACTCCTGTTGGTGGAGGGTTGCTGCATAGTGATTTGCATGTTAGTATGACGATATCTCATGTTAACATACGTGACGATAAGTGGGAGTATCAATGCTAGTTGTGAGCGAAACGTTTCGCCGAGAGAGGGCAGTATAAGTCGAGAAAACTTTTTGTTAGAGGAGAAAAGATATCGTATCGAAAACAAACAGTCTTTATTTATTATGCTAAACACAAACACGAGATTTGACCATACATTTTACTTATATCACTTCTGACACTTACCTAGTCTGGCTGTGCCTCATTGGATATTACCTGTACAACCAGTGAAGGACGTTGCTCTTGACATCGATAAACAAGGCCACTATAGGCAATGTTTTCCGCAGGTACCACCTACTTTAAAAATGATACAGGAACAAAGGTAACTTTAAACAAGATCAACGTAATTGTTTTCCTAACCACGTTATGTGAAAATCTGCATGAGGCATTTTCAGTTAAAAACCAATTTCTTGACATGTATCAAATAATAAAAGCAGAATCCGACCAGGAATAATTGCGACACTTCTTGCGATTAAATGTCTTTGAACTGAGTGTTTATTTTGAGTGAAAATGAACAGGCTGGACAAACTTTTTTATAACAAACAAAAATTTTATTCAGAAAAACAAAACAATTATTTATTTTTTTATTTCTGTAAAAACTGGGAGTGAACTGATACAAAGAAAACAACTGGATTTCTTTTTCACATTTTGACCTCTGTTCCCTCATGGCATTGGTCAGCTAACAGATTCAGTTGACATCACAATTCAGTCAGCAAAAAATATGCAAGTTTTAACTAGCTTAATCCAGGCTCAAGATACAGCATTGGAATATCCTTTTGGCAGATGTCATTTAGCAAAAGAACAAAGAGTTGAGGTGGCTAGAACAAGATAAAATCAGACATCCTAGGCCACGTTGATGCCAAAACTAAATAATAATCATCATCATCATAGACAGCAGTACATCGATAATTCTACCGATGCTTAGCTGCCACACAATCATGAATTATTATTAC